CGCCAGCGGCGCCACCACACGAATTCAAAGGAAGCCCGCCCCCGCCGCGCTCGCGCTGCGCCGGGCCGTCACGTGGGGCCGGCGGGCCCGGGCCTGTGAGGGGCGTTCCGGTTCCGGGCGCGGCGGGGTCGCCATGGCGAGCAACGCCGCCAGCCTGAACGCCGTGAGGGAGACCATGGACGGTGCGTGACAGCCGCGGGGCAGGGACGCGCAGGTTGCAAGGGAGATGGAGCGCCTGGCCCCGCCCAGGGCCGTGCACATGTGCGCCTCTCTCGGGAAGAGGGGCGCGGGTCGCGGCTACCGAAAGATCAGTAGCAGTTTTTGTTTTGCTTCGTGAAACGGTTCAACCGCCGCAGAGCGAGTGTCTGTGGACGCGATGTGTCTTTTCCTTATTTTGGTTTTGTTGGGTTCTATTTTTTTAATTTAGCTAAGTATTTAACATAGATTACTCGGGTTTTTTCAGTGTGTGTGTGTGTGTGTATATATATGTTTGCTCTTGTTTCCCGTTATTTGTAACGGGTAATGTTAATGGTTGGCTCAGTGCAGCTGGATTTAAGCCAGGGGGCTGGAGGTGCGCGGGAGAGGGAGGAAGGACCGGCCCTGTGGCGATGGCGCTGGCAGCACCTGAACTGATCTGAACCCCGATATTTCGTTCTTGTTCGTGGCTCGTGTCAGAAAACCAAAATAAACTGAAAAAAAACCCAAGCAAACCTAAAGCAATCCAAACTGCAATAAGCTTTGAGGACAGTTGTCAGTGTTACAGAGCTAAAATAGATTCTCATCTGGAAATAAAACAAACCCAGGGACTTTTGTGGGATGGGGAATGTGAGAGAAAGGGTTCTGGGAGTATTGGGAAATATTTTGGAGATTGATAAGAGAAATGTGAGCAGGTGCATGAAGTTCTGGTGCTCACTTTCAGCCTGACTACGAGGAATCAAAGCTGGCATGTTTTGAAGTTGTTTCTCAGTGTAGTGTGAAATCTGGAATTCCACAAAATGCCTATACCGAAAGCTTAGATGCAGGGTGGAAAGCAGCCAGGCACTCTGATGAGGGTTGTTAAATGTGAAGCCTTTCTCTGACAATGCCCTAATGAGGGAGTAGAGGCTAGGGAGAATGTTCAAGGGATAATGCTATGAATTTGTTATTTTCTCAGCATCTTTCCTTCTCTTGAAGTTACAGCTGCTGTTACAAAAAGATTTTTTAGCACAGACCTTCATGAGTTGAGCTGGTATAAAAAAGCATTTCAGCTACTGATCTCCATGCTCTGACCTGCTGCTGGAGGCAAGGCAGGACTGGCAGGATCATTATGGCTCCTCTGATTCTTCAAGAGGGTAAAACCATTTTGTGCAGATAGGGAGAGATTTCTTTTGGAATGACAAAGAATCTAAACTCTGGTAACTGCACTTAACAACTTCCCTCTTGCCACTTCTGCAAGAGTGATTTAGACAGGAGGGACAACAGGCAGCTTTAAAGACAAAGTAAGGTTTTTGAGAACAGATATGGAAAGTGCATTAATCTTAAGATTCAGGAGCCCAGGCTTCCTTTGTAACTATGTGTATATTTAATTTAGCATACAGATGTTTAGCAGTTGCTGTCTGCAAAGTTATTAAGAGTTCAGAATTTGGAGAAACTGCTACATCTCTCTGCCAAAGACACTTGCCTCAACACCTAAGGATTAGGAAGGACTTCATCAGTATCTGCAGTCGAAAAGCACAGTGTTCTTCTAGACTACCATTTATCTAATGAGCAGGCACGTTAATTGTTGAATTCTTCTCTTATTTTTTTTACTTTTTTAAAAGCCATTTTCCAGTATTAAATTTTCTGACCCAGGAAAGCATGGTGTTTATGTTAGAAGCTTTTAGGTTATGTTGGAAAGTTGAACACAAATATTGTTGAAGTTCAAACAGCAATGGACATCTGCCATGTTTGCACTGGAGAAGTATTGTAGAATCAAAATGTTGATGAAGAACAGTCTTGATCATTGAAATTTCATAGTCTGTAGGGACTAAAGGGCTTTCATTTTTTCTGTTGCAGTTCTGTTTGAGATTTCAAGAATATTAAACACTGGCTTGGATATGGAGACATTATCTATTTGTGTGCGGCTTTGTGAACAAGGCATAAATCCAGAAGCATTATCTTCTGTTATTAAAGAGCTGCGTAAGGCTACAGAAGCTCTAAAGGTAATGCTCAAGTTTAAAAAGCTTATAAATTTGTTTTTAAGAGTCAGGTGTATATGCAACTTGCTGTACTTCAGTTTGTAAATTGTACTTTAATATGACTCATTTTTAAGTCAAGGAAATTAAATTTTCAATTAAGGATGCAATGAATACAACTGAATTCAACATGAAACAGATACAACAGATACAATGGTACAAATATCATGCTTTGTAGAAATAAAAAAATTAGACTAACTCTTCTGAAGAAAAAAAAACACAACCAAAACTCACAAATTTTTATTATAGTCACCATTTCTACCCCTACCTGCTTAATATCACAAATAGATTTTTCCTTTAACCAGTATCACCTCATTTCTACAACCAACAGTACTTGTAAACAGGTACATGCAGCTTGTTAACATCACCTTAACATATTGCTTTTATCCTCCTTATCCTGTGCTTTGAACCTTTCCAAAGACTGGAAGGAGGGGATTTTGTGATGTGTGTGTATATATAGGGATTTTCATATACATGTATTTGCCTGTTTAACTAGTAGAGGGTAATCATGGTTTTAAAAAAAAAAAAATCTCACTTGCATTTTAAAGGATTTTCATTCTTTACTGTCTACCTAAACATCACTGTCAGGACTTTTACTACTGCATCTTTTATTTTGTTATTTTTGAGAGGTGAAAGGGAAAACCAATATGTAGCTTCTATACTGGAAGACTGCATACTTTATTTTTAACTTAACATTTTTCTGTGCTCATACATATTTTGTATTTGTGTCTGTGCTTATATGTGTGCGTACACACACATTTAACTGTATATAAATAATTGGTGGCTGTTTTACTTCTTCCATTGCTTTCACTGGTTTCCCATTCCTATTGTTCTCCTTTGCTTGTTTGTCCCATAATTGGTTTAAAATCTACCAGTATCAGTCTTCAACAGCAGTGCCTTGTTCACTGGAGTTATTCAGTAATAAAAATAAAAAATATTCTTAGTAAAAAAATTGGTAGTGTGATTTATGCAGTTATGATTACCATCATTCTTCTGAGTTTTGTGTCAATACCTTATCTGTATGGACGGGGTTATAATTATCATAAATCATATAAAGCAAACTCCATAGGCAACTATATTTACGCATTTGAGCCTTTCTTGAAAGTATTAGGGTAAAATGTACAAGATAAAAGCTGCTCAGATACAGGATGTAACATAAGCAAACAGCAGTGGCTCTTTTAGTAAAGTTGGCAGTTGACAGCATTATTTTTGTAGAAAATAGTGTCCATTAGAAAAAATTAGAAAAATTAGAAAAAATTTCCTAATTAGCTTTTTTTTTTAACTCTGAAGTTCTCCAGGAAAATTTAAAAAGTTTCAAGAAAAGATTAAATTTAATATACATGATGTCTCTTTTGATGACCTGGAATAATTTTTTTTTCTGTTTCTAGGCTGCTGAAAATATGACAGGCTGATATGGGACAAGATCTCTTCATGAGAAGAATGCCAGGTTAAACTTACCAGGAGCTCTGAAGATTGCCACTATTACCAGGAGCTCTGAAGATTGCCACTATTAAGAAAAAAAAAAAAATTGAAATAAGTGTATGTCAAGGATTCAGAGTACTTCTGTAGTACTTTTCAAAAGAATTGAAAAGTTTTTAAAAAGTTCACCTTTAATATTATTAGTTGGTATTTTTGTGAACTGTATGTTTTTGAAAATTTTAGTCTTGCTTTATTGTCCAGATAGGAATGATGCCCATACTGACTTTATTTTAGTGTAAGGGCAGTAACTTAAGTCTCAAGCTAAAGGTAATAAATAAAGCATTTTTTTTTAATAATGTAGGTAATGAATTGTGCTTTTGATTTCTATTCAGATTGCTGGGAAAAGTGTTCAACTTAGATAACAAAATTCTTCAGCTATCCATATATCCATATCCAACTAGATATATACGTAAATTTAAATTCTAGATGACATGGAATGTTTCACAGAGAGCAGATGCTACATTTATTACATTTATAGTATATACATACTCTTCTGACTGCAGGATCTAAAAATATTAAAGCTTTATCGTTACTGCGATACAATAGTCAGTGCTTACATGAGGAGCATCTGATTTGGTTGATGAGTGTCAGTAAGTCTTAAATAGCTGCTTGGTACAGGAATGTCTTCTCATTTAGCACTGGAAACCTTCACTGATGCCAAAACAAGTGTTAATGCCCAGTAAGTATGTGCACACAGGAGTTCTACTTTGTAAGAAAATGGTGTCTTGTATGTTCATCACCTGCAGCTGTTTAAGTTTTTGGGGCTTTTCAAAGGTCTTTTGATATTTTGTTATGCTGTTTTCAAAGTGTAGCGCTAATAGGGCCTAAACCAATCTGCAGGGTTAACAGGACAAAGCACATTTGGAAATGAACCTGGAATCTTAGTTAAGCCAGAAGTTATATTTGTGCAGAGATAAAAAGTTCTTTTTACTTGAAGCGTTTGCATCATATGCACTCCAGATGACAGCTGTACAAAAAGCAATAAAGCAAATATTTCATATTGCTGACAGAGAATAGAAAAATATTTATATTGCACTGAATCACTTGCCTTTATTTCCAGTTAGCCTGGCCAAAATGTCATTCTGGGAAGGTGCTGTAAAGAACTAAACCAGGGAATTTAAATGGTTTCATTTTGCACACTCAATTGCATCAATTTACCAAGGACTTTAAATGTTCATAACCTGAATATTTACTATGAAAAGAGACCACAATGAAATTTATCATAAGAAATCTGAAAATTCAGTAAAATAGGAAGAGTTCAGGTCAGATCAGCACAAATAAGGAATTAACTCTCTTACTTAATTTTCTCTAGACTCAATACTACATGTCAAAAATTAGAAAATACTTGGGAGGCATTCTCACTTGTTTCAGGGGTTACATCTCAATCTATGAGATTTCCCTTGTATAATTTAAACTCTGAAAATTTTCTGTAAACTGTAGCAAATGTACCCAGAATAATAATGAAACTTTTTTAGAACATATGTTGCTGCTCCTGCATTTCCTTTTCCTCCACAGCCAAATCTTTGGGTAATACAAGAAGTCTGATGACTTCAATTGAATGTCACTCTATTGATTAATTTTATGTATTTCCAGGGTTTTTTCTATCTTGGTAGCTTGATTTTGGATTTGGTTTAATGTCCTTGAAATACTTAAAACCAGCTTGCAACTGCAGTTTGACAATTTATACATAATTTATACAATTATATTTAATTCCAGAACTGTCCAGTAAATTGCATCTACCATTTTACCATTGGTAAGCTTACAGCTTTTATGTATTTAGACATTTTCTGGTAGACCATTTGGCCTTCAGAATTACAGAAGAAGGGCATGTCTTTGACATTCAAAACCCCAATTTCATGTCTATAAAACTAAAAGTGCATTATTTTCACTCTTACGTGGGACTAAATGGTAACGTTGGTTACTTAATGTACTAAAGGGAGAATATGTAGCTTTTAAAGTGGTATAAGAAAACTCCTGACTGCTTTTAATTGGGATACCATCCATAACAAATATAATAAGTATTTTTTTTCTTCTTCCTGGCGAGAAATAAAAAAGAAAATCCCTCTAGTAGGAAATTTCATACTGGAAGTATTTGTGCTGCAACGTAAGTCTATCACTTTAATAGCATCTCCACTATGTGAACATGAATGCTGAGGCTTGGCACTGATGCCTGAGAAGTCTTGGCTGCGTTTATAACACACATCACCTTTTACTACATTTAACCAAGAAGCTGAGCAAACAGCACGTGCTCTTCCTCTGTGCTCCTTACTTACGTGCTCTTGGAACTCTGGAGAAGATAAACATAGGAATATCTGTACAGGTCCTGACCAAAGTTGTTTTTTCTAACACAATAGCTTCTTTTGTACTTAAAGGCAGCTGCCTGAGGAAGGATAAGAACAATGCAAGCACATTTGGTTGCTTTTCTTCTGTGTTCTCCTGGCTTCTAAATGTCTTCTATTCCAGGCTTTCCTGAACATCATATGGTTTGTCTATTTAGTAATTCTCAATGCTATTTTTTCCAGTAGTTGTCTAGTTTCCTTTGGACTATACATGCTTCCTGAATAATGGCAGCCTTTATCAATTGATGTCTGTTGCATAAAGAATTGCCACTTCTTGTTCATTTTGAGTGTGATTTTCACTAGTTTAACTTAATGTCCCTTGCACGGTAAACTTCTATCTACCGTGCCATGTTCTGCAGATACATAAGTCACCTTTAAATTGCATCTTCTAAACTGAAATGTATTAGTCTTTGAGTGATCAAACACATGGAATAGCCTCCATATTTACTGTCCTTAGAAACTTTTCTGGGTCTCATATATTATTTTCTGAGAAGGGAATCAAAACTGCACACAACATTAGCCATGCAGCTAAGTACTGGCCTGCTTGATAACTTTCTTGTTCTTTATTCCTTTTCTAGTACTTCCTAATATTTGCTTTTTTAACGTGATCTGAATGGTGAGCTGTTTTCATGGCATTGTCTATGGTAACTGCAGGATCTCGCTCTTTGGTACAGTGATAAGCTCAGAGGTTATTTTTTCATATGTGGAAATCGGTTATTTATATCCGTGTGTATAATTTATTCGTTTGTGCTGAATTGTATCTGCCACTTTCTCCTAATCAATCTTCCATGTGTTTCTCCAGTTCCTCACAGTTTGCTAGTAGTCTTGCTACCATCACTAATTTTATCATTGGGAAATCTTGTTGCTTTATCCCTTTTTTGAGGTTAATTATAAGCAAGTCACGCAACACACAAAGTATCAAAGACTGCAAAGGACAACTGATGACCTGGGGCAGGAGCTGACTATTTATTTTCATTCCTTTTCAGTGATTGTGAATAAAATGCATTATTCTTACACCACATGTCTTCACTGTCATGCAGCAACTCTCACTGTGAGAGTTTAAGCACAATTGTGAATCCAGTCCTGCAGAGAATATGGTGTGCTTGATAACTGTCAGGTTCCCAAATGTTCTTTCCACCTGCTGCTCTCTAGGTGACCAAATACTGGTTCAATCCTAGATTTGCTTTTTGATTCAGTCAACTAGTTCCTTCTCAGTTTAATTTGTGCACTGTTACAGGCACACATTATTCCAGGGACTGCTCCCAGCAGGCTGTGTACCAGAGCCTTCTGTTCTTCCCCAACACTTTCCACCTTCAAACATCTCATCTTTTGTTTCATGCCAGAGAAACACTGCAGTCCTTATTATTTGAATATGCTTTAATTAAAAGGCACAAGAAATGGCAGTAACCTAAGACTCAGCAGTGACCCATGATGTATTATGGCTGTAGACAACCTGCTTTAAAGAGACTGAATGCTGAACAGAGGGGCTTTACATTGCTATATGTGATCTGAGCTAGGCACATTGGCAGGTTACTTTACTGTGAAGATTCAACTCTGAGTCACAATTTTTTTTGTTTAATTAAAGTTTGAAAACAGAATTTCAAAGAATGGAAGATATGTTAAAGTAATTTCAACCTTTAAAAGAGTGAGGGCAAGGACAGAGCGTTGCAGACCAGTCACTTCACATCAACAGCAAACATCCAACTGGTAAATTCAGGATTTTATCAGCAAAGAATGAAAGCTAAAAGAAGTCGAGTAATGTGAGACAGAATGAGAGGAAATGGCTATTACATAAAATAGTTAATCAAGTGGAAATAGTGGAGTAAATCCATAGTGCTGTCAATTCACCACTTCCAAACCCACTGTTCATACTTCAAGAAAACAAGGATAATTTAAATGAAACAGTGAAACTCTTTTGGAATGGGAGAGCAAGCCTGAAGTGGTCTCGAAGCACTCAGGTGGTGTGCAGGTTTTCAAAGAGAAGTTGCAGAGAGACATAATGACCCTAATTGTGCCCTTGAATATAAAGGAGGTCTTGTGGGTGCATTTTTTTAACCTTACAGAGAAAACCAGATTCCGTAGGTGTTATTGGAGAAATCAAACCTTAAAAGTAAGGCACAGCTCCCCAGGAGTGAAAGTAAGTAAACTTTGACATGGCATATTAGGGAAAATGACAGCTGGCTACTGCTTGGTGTTGTTCATATGAAATGAAAAATATTTCTAAAAGACATGCTTTAATCCAATTTCTGGGGCAGAGTTTACAGTACTTCTCTGCAGGGTGTCAGAGAGGCTGACTGTAGCAGTCCCTTTTGACTGCAGGGACTCTGAAGGGCAGTCTAAAACAGCTCTAAGTAATGTGGAGAAAATAAGGAATATTTAGGATGACTATCAGTGGTGTTTCTGTCAGTAAGATAAATGGAAGCCTGGTTTCCAAGATATTTAAATGTTACCTGATCAAAAAAACCCAAACACCACAACTATTAATTATCTGCACTGGAAATCTGGAATATATTGAGTCTAGGCACTTTTATTACCACTCTATAAATATTCTTATTCTTTCACGTCCAATTTTTACAGGTAAGAAGAGACCAGCTCATGAAAATGGATCTCTGAAAGAGCTCAGTGGTGTCATTATGTAGTCAAGTGGGAGTTTAATGCTCAAATTTA